GAAAAAAAAAAAAAACAAAAATATTTTTCCCCCTTTTCTGTTCATTCTGAGAACCAACAAAAAAAAAAAAAAAAAAAGCAAATATAACATTTACTGCATCCTCTTCTAAATATAAAGGTTTACAATGTGTCAGGTTGCTTCCATGTGTCTCCACTCACATCAGAAATACCTCTTAACATGAAAATAAGCTCTACTGTGCTATAGAAAGATAAACCAGAAAAGTGATAAATGATATGGGCCCTAATCACACACTATTTCCTTTGTCCCATTCTGATAGTGCAAAAGAATCAAGAGGCTTAAGGAGCCACCTGAGGATTTGCTTTAAAAAAGGGAGTCTCCTCAGTTGGCAAAATACTACCTTGGGGAGCACTGCTACTGGCACAAATTAAAAGTCTTGAAGCTATTCCAGCTAGAGTTGGAAAAATGTGTTTGGTGGCTAGTACATTTAGTAACAAATAGATTATAGATCCTCCCAAAACTATTTGAGTTAAATTCAAGTCATTTTAAATAAAAATAGATTCTGCTGAACACATTTTCTGAACTCACAAACCGCCAAAAGACACCGAGGAGTCTGAAAAAAGACAAGACTAGATTTGCAAAACCACCTGCAGTGGCAGTCTCCTTTCATTGAATGGTCAGACCACTCACACCTCTGCTGTAATCCTTGCACATTGCCTAATGTGCCTAGCTGCTTAATTGCTTAATTAGCCTAGCTGCTAATTAAGAAGCTAGCAGTCCCAGCTGGGTTCCAACATCTTTGTGTAGTTGCCTGATTGGCTCCAGCTCCTTTGTATCAGGCTAAGAGGGAACACCTTTGTATCTAACCTTTTCTGCACAATAAACTGAGTTCTTGAGTCTTGTAACTAGTGCTCTGCCTCACCTCTTGCTCACACCCTCGTTTGTGATCCTTGACTCCTGACCTTAGCTTATCTATTGGTTTTCCATTTTTGTCTCCAGACCTGTGGGTTAGTGTCCTGACTATGAATCTTTGGTACCTGACTTCAGCCTGGCACTTTGTTTCCACTGCTTGACTTGGTATCCTTATTATCAGTCTTTGTCTCCTGGCCTTTCCCACTGGCCACAATCCCTAAAATGAGCTAGCACACTGTGACAACTGCATGGGGAGGCTCCAAACCATATGTCCCAGTAGAATGCTGCAAGTAGGCCATACATGTTACATGTTAAGGACCACTTCCAAGATACCCTTCCTAATGACCTGCCACTAGTAGACTGTTCTGGTTTGATGTAATCTGCATGTGCAGATTAAGGAATTGCTGTGTAGTAAAGACAGGATTTGCTGTCTTGCTCTTCCAAACTTATTTTGTTTAATAAAGTACTTTGATAAAGAACTATGATTGCCCATGAGGACTGTCCAGATAGGCTGAGTATTGAGTTCTGTGGTATCTGCTATTCCCACTCCCTCCTGTTGAAGCTGTTTCACTTAATTATTTCTACATTCATTAAGACCCTACTGGCATAGGTCCCAGGAGGTACTAGCCACAAGGCTAAAGAGACATTTTTGCTTTTTTTCAAGTCTTTACTATGAAGTGGAACAGCTTCAGCAGGAAAGACAGGGTGCTTTTTCTGCAGAATATCCTAACGGGTATGAGATCTTGATTTCAAATCCTTTGCATTTGGATGTGGACTCCCTCACCTCTCCAAACACTTGGGATTGAGCATGTGGTGTTGCTCTTTCCTGTTTAAAAAGGTTCTTTTGTACTCAAATACTCAAATTCTCATGGAGACAAGAAGCAAGACTGAGTATCCTTGGGAGTGCTTGTGTAGGAGGTGGAATGTTCCAGGGAACACTTTAATTTATAGAAAGAGCAATAGTGTGAACAGGCACAATGGAAGTGGGAGTTTTGGGCACTATATCAGAAAGTAAATAGAGGATATCAGATTCTTCAGGCAGTAGAGAAAAATGAACCGGGGTATCTCTCACCTTGAGTGACTACTCCATCCATTGGAAGAATGAATCTCTTCCTCTAATAGTTCTGTGAATCAAGCCCGTATTCTTGCTTTTCTTACATTTACCCCAAACAGTTGACTGGACTGTGTAGAACTTATTCTGAAATTCCAAGTCCCTTAAAGATTTTAAACAGGTGGGTTTGGGGGTTCTCTACCTTTTTAAATTAAAGAACCTACTTTTCTCTTTCTCTCTCTTTGCTTTTCCTGTCCCTTTCTGACCTGCATCTTCCCACCTCTCAAATTACATTGATCTGAGATTTAGGATGAATCCTAGCCCAGCTCTAGACAAGTGAAAAATCATAAGTTATCATTATGCAAATTTACTTTTCTGGCCAGAGGGATTTCTTTGTTTGCCTGGAGTACTGAGATTCCTTTTTAATCATAAAATATCTGATTCTTGATTACTTGTATGTGTGGTTTTGTTTATTTTTTAAGTTTTCTTAGTTATGAATTAAGACTGTCCCAACTCACAGCATTGTTTTAGGTGGTCAGTCCATTATTTTCAGTGAATCCAAGACCAAAAAAACAGATTTCTAGATCTCAGTGACAAAAAAACCCATTCTAATCTTTAGATCGGGGGCATCAAACTCCCAACAGGCTAGCTAAGGGGCACGGAGCCATTTTGTGGGCCAGATCGGCCCACAGACTGGTGCTATGCACCAGATACAGTGTGCAGGGCAGGTCCTGTGCAGGTGCTGCATACAGTGTGCCCACACGCTAGCCCCATGCACTATGTGCAGCATGTGCCCTTGACTGGCCCCATCCACTGCATACAGGACATATCAGCTACAGCCCTGTGCACTTCGAGCAGCATGCACCAGACTGGCTCCACATGCAGTGCACAGAGGTGCGGCTGAAGCATGCTTGCATCTGGTGCATGGGTCTAGTCCAGGACCCACAGACAGTGCCACAGGCTGAATGACAGAGCTCCACTGGACAGATCTGACCATATCTTTGACATCCCTGACTTGCATGGTGTTCTCCTCTAAAACATAATGGAGAAACTAGGGCTGCTGCTCTCTTTAGAAGTAGACTACAAAGAGTGACAAGTAAAATATGCCTAAAAAAATGTTCCCTTTCCCTGCTCCTTAAATGTCTGATTTTCACACTTTACAATATATAAATGAGGGTTATTGTCCTGTAGATTTTCTATTTGTACTTAATATATGGATATCTACTTAGGGCAGATTTATATCTTTGTATATCTATAGTTTTTATTTTTTCTTAATCATGTGATATTGCAAAATCACTCTGGGTACCTTAGAAGCAGGGTGGGGGTAGCTGATTAATTGAAGGAAGTTCAGAAAAGAGCAGTAGGAATTATTAGGGGCTGGAAAAACTGATTTATGAAAGAAGATTAAAAGAGCTAAATACATACAACTTGGCTGAGTGCCAAGTAAATGCAAACATTGTTGGTTTTATTGCTTTGGTAGTGAGTAGACCTTTTGATGAATTCATTTGGAGCATTTATGATAATAAGTGCTATGCCCAGAATTGTTTGTATGCATGGGCCCTGAGAGAGATCATAATAATACTGCTGGAAGGATGAAAAGAAGGTGAACAAAGTCCTGATCCTGCAGGAGAATCAGCCCATCCATAGCATTTAAGCCCGTGGAGAATTCTATGTGAACCAGTTTTGCCACATGGACTGAGGAGCTAATACTTTTGGTCTAGGTAGTCAGTCCCATAGCAAGGGGGAGGTGAGTGGGGCAACTGCCCCGGGTGCCGAAGTGAAGGGGTGCCAACAGGTGCAGCCCAGCAGGGGCTGGGCGCGGGACAGAGCTGCGAGCAGCTCATTTTGGGGGGCACAGAGGCAGGAGAAGGGTAGCTTCTGCCTCTTCGTGCACTCCCAGGCAAGCATGGGGGGTGGTGGCATGTGCTCCCCGGATCTATGTGCAGGGCAAGGGCAGGCTGCCGCTGCGGGCTTTGTCCTGGGCACCAAACTTCACTGTTACAGCACTGTAGGTGGTATAGAGAGTGTAGGAGTCATTCCTGCAATCCTTGCTTGACCTGCTCTCCCTTAATCTCTGAGGCTGTCAGGGGTAATAGGCTCAGTTTTTGTGTCATTCCGCTTCAACATTGACTTTAAATGCCATCCTGTGCTTAGGACTGGCTTAGGACTGCATTGGCAAATCTGTGTGAGAAGACTTGTTGTCTAACTCACTGTTAGAAGAATTTAACAGGCAAAGAGACAAATCCTGCCCCAATAAAGCCAGCTGCAGTTTTGCTACTGGCTTAAGTGGAAACAAAGTTTGGCTCAGACACATTGTTGCATAAATTGCTGATTTTATTCCCTGGAGGCTA